TGAGCCTCGTATTTCACCTCGCTCCAAGTCTTTCCGGCTCTCTTCGCCTCATCTGAAACTGTATGACGACAGGTTTGCTTGGCACGACCACGCTTCTGCTTTCTTTGCGGGTTCCAATCAAGCACCAGCTTGGGGATATGATTAGAATCTCTTCGGAGTATATGGCCTATCCATTTCCACAGCCTGATCTGCTGGCTAACCGGGGTCAAATTCTTAGTACCATGTTTGTATAGGTGTTTTACAATGTATATTAAATTTCAAACACCATAGATTCTTGTTCACATCCACATCAGTAAAAACTGTTAACTCAAATGGAAATTTAGTCTAACAGACTTAAAAGCGGTGTACGAGAAAACAACTCGGAAAAACTAGAACACTCGCAATTTCATTTGCATTTCTCTTGTATGGAAGATATTCAGCTATTTCGTCGTTTAACTTTAACCATTTCAATACATTGAAAATTTTCGAAAAATGTATGCGCATTTTGTTTGCGGGACCAAATTTTTACTCTTGAATATTAATGTCTCATTTTCACAACGCGGCGTGGCTTAGAGCAGGTTTTTTTGTATAAGAATTTAAACATTGTTTCCGTTTATTTTGTATCTGTTCCTACTTTGCAATTAGATGAAATATAATTTAAGTTACACACGAACGATGTTGATAGACGAAAAAGACGACTGGTGTCCTATCTAATAATCATTATTTATATTAAATAAAAACATTACGCACTGATAATCTTATACACCAAATTTTTAGTTTTGTGTCTGGCTAGTAGACTACAAGCCCATGAAAAAAAATACATGTGAAATGAACCAACTTGAATAACGCTTAGAAGGCTGTTACTATATCTGAAAATAACTCTGAGCACTATGCCGTCATTTCTGAGCGGTACATGTGAGTACGTGAGTGAATGGAAGTTCTCAGGTACAAATGAGGAATTTCGACTAATTATTAATGTACGGCTTTGTTATAGTGTATAGATGATTAAAAATAAATGTCGAAAAACCTAGCGCCGACTACTAAAGTGATGGTGCCGGAAGTCAGTGCAAATTTTTAATTCGACGATAGTTGCAGAAGCATTATAGGTCATCTTTTATTACTGTAAATAAATACAGTAATAAATAATATTAAAAGTATAAACACCTATGCGCTACCTTTAGTCAATTTTTTTTGCACTCAAAAATTTTAAAATGAGAGCAATCACATAATTATAAAACATGTGTAATATTTACAATATTACAAAGGTAATATTAATTTTTAATACTGTACTGTTTGGTTCATTTCACAGGTATTTTTTTTTTCATGGGCTTGTAGTCTATAGATGAAAAACACAACTCTGGTGTCTTAGCTAGAATATTATTTATAATTAATAGATACTCAAATTTTTCAAAATTCATTCATTTGTGTTAATATCGATGCCTACATAATAAGAAAAATAACAGCCTCCCTGTGTAAGGTTCCTCTCATACAAGAAACGTATCAAGCACTCCATTCCTAAAACCCTGCCTTTCTATTTCATCGAAATAATTCCCAATTTGTATTTAAACATTTGTCCATACATGATAATTATTATATTAATAAAATATTTAAAACTGAACTAAATACATATATTGTTGTGAGACTATTGTGGTCTCTGGCAGAATGACCAGCGCTGTGGACCACGTCTGCTCCACAGCATAATGCTGAGCCAGTAACCACAACACACACGCATTACACACTTAAAATGTACCTTATTTTTTATTTTTTTTATTTTTTTGATTATTATTATTTTGTGTGTTTCTGTGTGTTTCGTTAGTAATCAATGTTATGTCTGTCTGTTATATTTGCGAACACTTTAATAGTTATCGCTGCTTTACCTGTACGATACAAACTCCTATCCCGGACGTTTTATTCGGAATAAAATTGTATATTGAGCAGTGTTGGCCTAGTGGCTTCAGCGTGCGACTCTCATACCTGAGGTCGTAGGTTCGATCCCCGGGCTGTGCACCAATGGACTTTCTTTCTATGTGCGCATTAAACATTCGCTCGAACGGTGAAGAAAAACATCGTGAGGAAAGCGGCTTGCCTTAGACCCAAAAAGTCGTGCGTCAGGCACAGAAGGCTGATTACCTACTTGCCTATTAGATTAACAAATTATCATGAAATAGATACAGAAATTCGTGGCGCAGACCTAAAAAGGTTGTAGCGCCATTGATTTATTTTAAAATCGTATATTGAGGGGGCAATATACACTTTAGCTCAAAATATAATTCAATTGCCGCAATGTCTGTTCAATTGAATTTATTGATAGATCTATAATAAGCATTTGTAACATATCTTTGTGCAGTACCGCGTTATACATATATAAGTTAAATTCGTATATGTTCTTATAAACAAGTCAAAATCAAAAATCAAAATCAAAATACGTTTATTCAATTTAGATGCTTCTTAAAGCATGCTTATGAATGTCAACAACGTTTACAAAATTCACGAAAGAGCAAGACTACGCCATCCGTTCGCAAAACTACCAGGAGGCCTTGTTCTGAGAAGAACGGGCAAGAAACTCAGCAAGTTTGCCCTCCCTTTACATTAAAATTATTCAAAGGAAAATGTCATAAACCACAACGTCATTAAAATTACATAAGTAAAAAAAAATAAAAAATCTGTTCTGTGATTTACCACATTCACCATTACACACATATTCATAACACTTCAAAGATAACAAATCAAATTATAAGAATATAATTAGAACTATTGCCAAGCGTTTTTATCTTCCAGGTAGTCATTGACTGTGTAGTAACCTTTACACATTAAGGTTTTTTTGATGTGTGTTTTGAATCTGTTTAAAGGCAGTTCCAATATTTCACTAGGAATCATGTTATAGCAGCGTATACTTAGGCCCATAAATGAAGTATTTATTTTCTGCAACCTGTAAGACGGCTGGAAAAGTTTTCCCTTATTTCTTGTATTCCTATTGTGAATGTCGCTGTTCTTTAAAAGAGAACTAATATTACTACGCACAAAAACGATACAGTTGTAAATATATTGGGAAGGTACCGTCAAAATATCGATTTCCTTGAACAAATTTCTAAGTGAAGTGCCTGGTTTCAAGCAATAAATTGACCTAATAGCACGTTTTTGCAAGATAAAAATAGATTGTATATCCGCTGCTTTGCCCCATAAAAGAATTCCATACGACATAACGCTGTGAAAGTAACTAAAATATACTATTCTGGCAGTTTCCTCGTCTGTGAGTTGCCTAATTTTCCTAATAGCGTATGCCGCAGAACTAAGCTTGTCAGAAAGTTTAGTGATATGCTGACTCCATTGAAGTTTTTGGTCTATTGTAATGCCCAGAAATACCGTAGAATCAGTGATCAGCTTCCACTCGCATAATTACAATCTGGTTGGTACATTATACTGTTTTTTTTTTGTTGAAATATTTATTTTACGTTTTACATAACGTTATAATCACTTTAACTTACGTCGTCATAAAAATAAATTAGTCTTATTTCCATTATCCATCTTATACTATAGACTATATTATTTCTTATATTGTTTTTTTGTATTTATATTGTTTTAATGTAAACTAAACTTAGCGAACTTCATACCGCCTGACAGTTAATAAATGTCGTGTTACAGATCAGCTGAACTTAATTTTTCAGTTCATAACAGTTCGAAATACATATTGTTGTTTTCATAAATTTTGATGAAGGTGATACAATATTTTAACTTGGCCGATCACACTTGATCACTTGCTTCTGTATTTTGCTCTGGTAATGCTTTTTTATTTTGATTATCAATTTGCGAATTATATTTATTATTAGTTAGGTCCTCAATCTTTTTGAAGTTATACTTCTTTAGGCGCGTTATGAAAAATTGATGAGAGTGAAATTTTACGATGCGCGCGCACCTGAGACACAAAGTTGTCAGCGTGATTATAGCGTGCGCGAGCGAGATGGGAATAAGACAATCAACAAGTAAAAAGAAATAGAATATGCGTGACGTTAGCGTTTGACGGCCGAAACCAATAATCTATTCTGATCCAATTTGTTCCATCTAAGATTGGTATTACAATCAGTTTTTGGGATTAAGCATGCTAATAAACTATCTTCGGATTGGGTTTGGTATCTTAAATAGCAGTCTATCTTTGGGAGTGCGAATCACGGATTAAAGACTGACCTCTGTTCGAAAAAGGCAGTTTGTGCATGTCAATAACCAATCCGTCTACTTTGACGTTTGCTTCAATCCGTGTCAACATTTGTAGATTGCAATCTGAGAATTTCAGCAGTTTGCTACTTGGATTACAAGTTGGTAGAAAGAAGAAATGGCCATGGCATTATTATTTAGTGACAGTGACGATAGTGATTTGTTGTTCTTATCGGATACTGATAGCGAATCAGAAGAGGAACGGAGCGCGAGTTCCCGAAGATTAAAAAAGGGTGAACTATATGCAGAGTCTCGATGATGCTGAGTTCACATTTAGGTTTAGATTATCTAAACCTGCAGTGGAGACTCTGTTAACACGATTGATGCCATTTGTACGTGTAACCTCTACAAGGTAGGTATCTACGTAGTTTCAATTTTGAGATTTAAAACGCATTTTACTTCATACGTTAAATGTTTTTATTTTTCAGGAATCATGGTGTATCACCACTGCATCAAATGTTGCTAACATTAAGGTTTTATGCATTGGGCACAATGTTAATTTCTGTAGCTGACTTTGTTGGAGTCTCTAAATCAACAGCAGGCCGAATAGTGCGCGATATATCATCAGCAATCGCCCACTTGTATGATGAATATATTTTTGTTCACCAACAAAGTGTAGAAAAGTTCTACCAAATTGCACGGTTCCCTTGTGTGTTTGCCGCAGTTGATTGCACTCATATACGTATCCAGTCACCATGTAAGCATTTGAAAGTTTAATACACTTTTGAATATGTTTTTGTCCTTAATATACCTAATATTCAATAGTTACTTGCAGCTGTTATAATAGGAGAAGAATTTAGAAATCGCAAGGGTTACTTTTCCTTTAATGTCCAAGCAATTTGTGATGCTGATTTAAGATTTATGAATGTAGTTGCTCGATGGCCAGGTTCAACACATGACGCTACAATTTTCAATAATTCTGTTCTTAGAGGTGAGCTTAAACTGTTTGAATTTGTTCTATTAATTTTTAAAATTGTAACAAAACTTTATTAATAAAATATATATCTTGCATATAGCGCAATGTGATGCAGGTATGTTTGGTAGCCGCTGGATGCTTGGTGACAGTGCTTATCCAAACAGATCATATTTATTAACACCACTTTTAAATCCTTTTACTGAAGCAGAACAGAGATATAACGAAGCACACATTAAAACTAGAAATACTATAGAGAGGTAATTTCAAACAGCTATAAAATACTAATATAATTAATTTATATGTTTTGTAGCCCACATAACATCTAATAGTATTTTGCTAATGTAGTACCATACTACCATAATATTATCTGGTATCAATTTATTTCTGCTATTTCAGAACTTTTGGTATTTGGAAGCGAAGATTTCCTATAGTGGCTCTAACAATGCGCTTGTCATTACCCAATGCCCAGGCTGTAATAATTGCAACTTCTGTGTTACATAATATTTGTAGAAACTACAGCTTGGAGGAACTTCCTGCAGAAGTGGATCTTCTGCTAGAAGATTCAGAAACTCATGAACATTCATATACTGAAGTCCAAGATGTGCAGGAAAGAGCAGTCCTTATTAGGAATTATTTTCAGTAGCATATTCACTGAACTGTTTGTTTTATCTGTTTTATTTTTGGATTAAAGGGCAGTAATTAATAAAGAATTTTATATTTTGTTTCTAATGTTTTTATTTTAATAATAATAAATATGCACAAATATTATATTTATACTGTAAGTATTACTTCTTTAATTTCTCTAATTCTAATTTTAATTTTTCGATTTCTAATGATAATTGTACATTTTTTAATTTATAATTTTCATTTTCTAAAAGGAGATTATCTAATTTAGTATCTAAGCATTTCTTCTTTGCTGTTAAATATTCAGCTATCGCATTGTTTTTCGCAGTCCGGCTGTCATCATGTTTAATTTTCTTTCTCACTGAAAAATTAATAAACTTTAGGTTGATTGATGGGTTCATGTTCATTATTTTGTAGGTAATATTATATTAAAGAAAGTATGATCATGATCCATAACCAAACAGGTTAACCATTGGAAAAATAAGTCTGTATTAAAATAACAACCCTAAGGCGGGTGCTACTCGCTCGATGATTATCTTGATAATTTGATCTAAATCCAGAATCACGATGGTTAGTATTGGCGTATCACGTATCGTGATACGGATCGCTGGATTTCTAGAAATCTACAAATTTACGATCTGTATCAATTATCGTCGATAATTACCGAGCATCTAGTGTCTGCCGTCTGGTCGATATTTATCGCGTCACTCGTCAGTATTCATTCTGCCAGCGATGGAAGAGGACGCGCATATTGACGTGGCACCCGCCGCACTTCAAACAAATGATCAAAAACATTTTGAACAATTGAAAGAATTCATACTTGTATTAGAAACACTACATACTACTACTGCTACTTGTGTAGTATACTAAAAAATACTAGATAAATATCGAGCGTATAGCATCCGCCTAAGAATCAATAGCGGCCTTCACACTTAAAGTTCGAACCGTAGGAACCAGCCCGCGCCATTCCGATCAGCCGTCCGTCCGTGTAGACGCGACAAATGCGTGGTGGTTTGACAGTTCGATGCGGCGCATTGGTGTGTACGAACGTTTGTACAGTTTTATGCGGGTACCTCGTGTGGATGACAATTATTTCAAAATGGCAGTTTGGAGCGTGGAAGCAGTGACAGGTTTTATAAGGAAATATCGGGAACATCCATGTTTATGGCAAGTTAAAAATCAGCCGGCTTTTACAAACCGTAATTTGAATCTTCAAACGAACGTCCAGTTGCCAGATATCTTAATGTTGCGGAAAGACGTTCTTCTGGTGTTATGCATTTTCTCATACCTGTATCTAAACTCTCGAAAAGCATTTATACGTACAGTTTTATCTGCAGGAAAGCGAAATAGACAGTTTGAACTGCAGTTACAATTGAAGCGTAAAGTAGAAGCACAGATCAGCGCGCGGTCTAGTCTGCACAGATTTATCTGCAGATTGGTGCGCAGTTCCAGAAATGCCATTCCGAACTGCACGTGTGAAGGCCGCTAAAATGTAATTATTAGTACCTGTCCTAGTTGTGCCAAGCGTGAATCTCCTTGGTTTTACATTTGAAGAAGCAGTCTCCTTGATGACACAACCCTTACCACCACTTTCACCAACACCCTCACCACCACCTTCACCATCACATACCACAATCTTTATTTCATGATCAGTGGACATGGGCATATACTCTACCACCTCGGTTAGATCGACAGCTACTGTCGCATCACCATCCCCACTTGTTTTACCATCACCGCCCATCAGCACACCACCATCAAGCCCATGTATTTCTCTATCACCCCCAAATGGCACAGTAAATCCACTGGCAGTACTCCCAAGCATACCAGTCACTCGGTCCAATATGTCATCTGGGGGTATAAACTCAGCGGGACCACCACCAGTCTGAAAAGATTTGTAAATAGAATATAAGTTGTACTAAAATCTGATAAAACTCAAAAATAAGTATTAACTACTATCACCTTAATTAGGTTCATCCTAATTTTAGTGCAGCGTTTGCGAGAATTTTTTTTTAAATTCTCCCATTTCAAACGCAGCTGCTGCGGAGTCCTACGACCAGTCGTGGTCCAAGCATTAAAGTGCGCAGTTAACTTAACCCACTCTTCATTTTTTAATTTATTATTGCTGGCATTCGTGGTTTTGGTCGTAATTATTTTGCTGGCTTCAATAAGGTCTATCAAAAACTTGCATTCTTCTTTTGTAAGAGGCTTGCCTTTTGCCTAGTAACAAAAAATAAATTTGTAATATTATATTAGGCGCAAAACTGAGCGTCAGTGGATTTTATATATTGTATAATAACAAATAGGTACTTACGATTTCATACTCCATTATTAACTATTGTCGTTGTCGTTAATATACTGGTGAAATATAAGCACAAAATATAAATATTCGTAATATATTTACAACAACCAAACGACAGTTTTTAGAAACTTGTCACTTGTGACAAAAAATAAACGTTCCGACCCTTACTAAAATCATATTACCACAAAAAAACATAAAAAATCATATTTATTAATTTAAGTAGAATATAGGGGAAGATCGTTACCCTTCGTACGCGGGGCACATTCATACAGTCAAAATAAAACTTGAACGAAACAAAGTACAGTCTTGTTTTTGTATGTGTGCATGAGTCGAGGTACGAACTATACATCAACGAAGTTTGGTGAAATTCGCACCGATGAGAGTGAAGCTTCAGGCATGGACGTGTTTTCGCGCTCGGTAAGTAATTTTTTGATCAATGTTTTTTGCTCTTGTTACCGTAGATAAAATAAGTTTTCGTGTAGAGTATTCTATCAGTAACTAGCAAAATATACTTAAGATACGTCTCCAATACTTAATTTATGACGTTTTCCTTTTAATATTAAAATAAGTTATATTTTGTTGTTATTCAGTTAGTGGGGTACTTTCGGACAGCACTAGATGGGGCACATTTGAACGAATTGTACAACTAAATTTGTATGAAAATATTTTGTCGACACGAACTGTCATTTTCATACAAATTAAGTTTTCGACTTGCTACATACAAATAATAATAAGGCATCTTGACTAAACCCTCTGGTAGGTAGGAAAGATTGTATTAGTGTGCTAATTGCTAATATTTGCATTAACTTTGTCCTGTGTTGCTATCATTGCTATCGTCTATGTAAATATATATTAATACCTATTTTTATTATCTTTATTAAGGTTGATTTTGATGCCTGTGAACCAGATGCTTTGAATAATTTACCAATCCATCAAATAATCCTTGTCGAAGTCAGTTTTGACACCAGAAGCGTTTCGACCCTATCCGCATGATGTAAGAAGTAATAAAACAAAAAAAATTACGACGACGGCCAGGAAAACCACGAATTTATACTGCCACACCCGAAAATAAGAAGTGCTAATCCGCACCAAAGATTAAAAAATGTGATTCTAAATTTAAGATACCTAACTGATTAATGCTAAAAGCTATGTAATTTTTGTTCACTATAAGAAAAGTATTTTATTTTTGTTTAATAGAAGTTAAATCTTTATTTTTGTGTTTAATTTCATTGCTAATAAATGAATTTTGATTTATACGTGTCGTTTTAATCGCACGTACGGAACTACCCCACAGCGTACGAAGGTACCTCCAACACTGTACGAAGGTGCCCCGTGAATGGGGCAGATTCGTACGTTTCCCAGATTTAGTTTAAATCATAATTATGGTTGAACCATAAGATGAAATCATTTGTCATTTTTTTATATGAATCTCAGATAGTAGGACTATAAATTTAAGCTTGCAGATGATTGATTAATGGAAAAGAAAAAAATTAAAAATAAAATGTGAAAACCGTACGAAGGGTCCCGACCTTCCCCTATATTATAATAAACGTTTTTAATATTAGCTACAACCAAAAATATTTGTTACTATAGATACATAGTAATTTTATTTCGTTCCAAAAACAGCAAACATTTGGTATGCTTGAACAAATATATTGCATTGAACGAAATGCGGTCGAGAGGGAAGGATCACGCAAAAGATTGCTGTCAATCTTTTGTCAAATAAACAATCGGATAGCAGAAATGTTTATTGGCATGCAGATTGGAGATCGGTCTTTAGATATGAATCAGTCCAAGATCGGTTATAATCATAGATTGAGGATACGTTATTAATTTTGGCCGTGAATGACCATAATGACATTTGTAGTACCTTTTAAACAAATAAAGGAGTTTTAATTATTTTTTCAAAGAAATTTAGCAATGCTTTTTCACAAAGACCTATTGTTACTTAGTTAAAAGGTTATGAAACATACCTAGTTATTAAATTGAATTAATAATATAATAAAATAATAAATAATAATTATTATTAATATTAATTAATAATTGAATAATATACTAAATATTGAATATTATTAAATTATTAACGTAAATATTTATTATTAATTATTTAATATTTTTTAAAAATAAAGAAAGCCAAAGAAGTATAACTTCTTACGCGCGTACATAAATACACGCACCCTTCTTTTTTGAGTGTTTGTGATTCAAGGTTTTAGTAGTAGTATTATTGTTCCCAAAATAAGTACATATCTCCATATCTTTACGACTGACAATTGTGTGCCTTTCAGGTTAAGTATATATGGAAACGAGGTATGTACTCAGGGCTTATTATTTTAATATAAAATTGTGTATCATATTAAGATAATAACACATTCGTCTGAACGCACGCATAAACATTTGACAACCAATAAATATATGTCAATCCTTTTTCATGACTGGCATTAATCTACATTATTAAATCTAAATTCGCCATTATCCGAATATTGTGGATATATCTTGTCGATTCGAAACCTTTATTTACGTTCTTTAATTTGAGGGAAGAGGTTTCCGTATCGACGAGTGAACATTAAATGTTTGACAGTTACGAAAATTTTTTGTTAGATTAATTATTATTGCTATTTATTACTTATTGGTAGGATAAACACTATTGTTGCGTTTCACGACTGTCAGATAGCGCTATTCGTTACATAAAGTCCATCATAAGTTATGAGTCCGATGAATGTCAAATAGGACAATTTATCTTCCAAATAATTTATGTGTTGCATAGCTATTTAGTACTTTATCCATACATTGTGAAACAGACCCTTATTTTTAGACCATTTCCCAATGTTTTAAATAGTTATTCTGTCATAGAACATAAATACAACAAATAAAACGCCATCAACATTGGCCCAGTCGTTCTCGAGTTAGTGTTCGAAAAAACTCGACTTTGTTTTTTATTAAGAATATGCTTAAAGGCAGTCAAATAAGGTCAAGTGAAGACCGATTTCATACACAAAAGGTCGCTTACGGTAAAATAAAACCATTCAAAGCATTATCTAAAGACAACACCTTAGGGGCCTCATAGCCTAGCGGTCTTATTAAGTGGTAAGGTGAGGGGTACCGGGTTCGATTCCCGGTTCGAGGGCAAACTTTAATTTAATTTAAATTTGTTCTCGGCCTTTGGGAGGGTTGTGCGGTACCGGGCGAGTGCCTAAACCGTACATGGAGGACGCGGTCGAATTTCTAAAGACAAGCACGAATTATAAAAAATCCTATACTTGACGCTGGCTAATGCACAAATCGTGCCAGAGCCATTTAAAAAAAAAAAAGACAACACCATGCTCTATTCATATCACTGTTCAACTCTTTTCATTAATATATTATGTGAAGGAAACTTGTCACAAACACATGTCCACTGTCTGCCGAAGTTTAAACTTCAGTTTTCACTTTGCTTTATGAGTTTTACTCGTTAGTTCAGAGCGAAGCCTTTGTTCATTTTTGTATTAGGTTTGTTTACACCCAGCATCTCTCGAGCGCTTTTTTCAAATTAATTAACGTCAAATAAATTGTTATTACGAGACAGAATTGCTTTGAATATTGTAAGTATAGAGTTTCTTGCCCATTTTTCTCCATATGATACTACCTTTTAGTAGGGGCAACAAGAGTATTTTTTTTTATTTTCAACTTATTATTTTGATTGACAAAAGTGCCTTTTTAATTGGCCTAATTAAAATAAATGCTTTGACTCTCAAAATAATATTTTATTAACGCTAAATGACGCAGATTTATATTATTATGTCTTATATATTATATGGCGTTGTATATAGTCTTTCTTTATAGGACTCTTTCTATATTCTTTCCTTCAACTTTCAGCATCAAATCAAACCTTACCCGCTGCAACAAAAAATACGCTAGTTTTAAGTGTTAAAGAAAACATGTGTTGCAGCACTTATATTCATGTTTTATTCATACGGTTAGTTTTATAACTGCGATTTAGAATAGTCATGGGTCAAGGAGTACGAATGCACAGGTTGAAGACAGTTTCACGCACAAGAGTTCTCAGAGCTGGCACTAGAACGTGTTTCCTCGCATTCCAGACATACGTTCCACATACAAAGAGCAGCTCCTTCCTTCCTCAGAATCTTGCCATGTATACTTAATTTTCAAGTTGAATTAAATTATTCTAGCTTGGCTGTTTATAAAAATACGACAAGACATTTCAATAAACTAATGAATAATGACAGTGCTTTCAACATACCATATTTGGCATAGAAACGCCGCTTTAGAATATATTGTACCCTTGACAGATAATCGTCACGAAAGAGGAATTCCTTTCAATACAGTTATACTTTCTCTTTTTGTTTTCGGTTTCTATTTGTAATATTGTAACAATAGTTATGATGAGCATGTAATGGTTGCAGCTAACAAACTTTAAAAAAACATAGCGTGCGTACAAAGTACACTTGTCAGAAGTGAATCTTCCTTAGGCAAACTAATTTTTAAGTCTTGTTCATATTTATACAAAAACTAAAACTTTTTGCGAGAAATAGGAAGATATGTTAGGAATTTAATGAATTTAATCGTCATTAAAATATTAAGTGTCAAAAATTAATACAAATTATACATAAATTTTTAATTTATTTCTTCGATAGTAAAAACACGTGGCATTTTAATTTACAATTCGTTATTTGATATTTCTAAAAAAATTTTTGCATAAAATACTAATATTTAATAAAATTCATAGAATTTTTATAAGGCAATTCGCCCTTTTCACTCTCTCTCAATCGCTCTCTCCCTTTTCTTCGACAAAAACGCTGCACATCTTCGTGACGCTAATGTTATTATTATTGCGTTTCATCCGTTAAAATTTTACCCTCATGCGCCTAAAGAACTTTCACTTCAAAAACTTGGCGAATTAAAACAGTGACGGAGATTTAATTGCCTGTTCTTCTCGGCTGTGTTACGGTATTAACATAAGAACTGGCATTACAGTGACACATACTTTTCTTGGCCGGCTGAAATTGGTACGACCATCGCCATATTGAAAT